GGGCCAGTGCCCTTGGCAAACAGCAGAGCCACAGCACTCACTTTGTACTGAGCCCTGGTCCTCCCTCCTTAAGCAACTCAGTTCTAGCACCCGTTTGCTGGCACGAGAGCTGCAGAGACTGTAGATCACAGTCTATAATGGAGAAGAGATTCCTTCCTGCTGGGGGAACACGGATGACTTCCTGGAAGAGGAGGCATTTGGGCTGCGTGGACTGTAAACGTATGAAGTGAGTGAGGAGAGGGGTGTCTAGGGAACACTGTGATGGGGGCCATGGGAGTGGAGAGAAATTCCGTCCAGCTGTGGCAGGAAGTAGCGCGTGATGTGTCGGGGCAGACCACAGACCTGGCACTTCAATAACCGACCAAGCGAAAATGCAAGCCACCTCTGTCCTCCTGAGGTGTCTCTACTTGTCACCATGCAAAGCAGAACAAACTCAATCCTCCAGGGGACCAGAGGGTATTCACACAGCCCTCATCAGCAATGGACTGCGTGCTGTGACTTTTTTTTAAACTTAGTTATTTGAAAGGCAGAGTGACAGAGACAGACAGACAGACAAACTAAGATCGACCTTCTATCCTTTGGTTCACTCCCCAAATGGCCACAACAGTTAGGGCTGGTCCAGGTTGAAGCCAGAAGCCAGGAACTGCAACTCCATCCAGGTCTCCCCCGTGAGCGGCAAGGGGCCACGCACCTGGGCCATCTTCCACTGCCTTCTCAGGTGCATTAGCAGGAAGCTGGACTGGAAGGGGGGTAGCCAAGATTTGAACCAGCGCTCCAATATAAAATGCTGGCATTGCAGGCCGTGGCGTAACCGGCTGCGCCACAACACTGGCCCCCATTGACTGAACGTTTGTGACCCCCTGAAACTCCTATGTTGAAATCCCAAGCCCTGCCCTTCCTCGGCGCTACCTGTGGAGGTGGCACCTTCTACTTGGCATTGAGGCTGCCCTCAGATGAAGCCCAATATCATCAAAAAGAAGACCAAGAAGCTCAGCTGACACGAGTCAGACCCATGTGGAGGTTAAGGGTAACTGGCCAAACCCAGATGTGTTGGCAGCAGGGCGCGGTGACGATTCAAGGGCCAGATCCTGATGCCAATGAGGGTTACGGGAGCAACAGGAAAACAAAGCACACGGTGCCCAGTGGCTTCCGGAAGTTCCCGGTCCACAACGTCAAGGAGCTGGAAGTGCTGGGGAGACTGCTCACGGTGTTTCCTCTGAGAGCCGCAAAGCCATCGCTGAGCGAGCAGCCCAACCGCCCGTCAGAGTCCCCCACCCCAATGCCAGGCTGCACAGTGAAGAAAAGGCACGGCGCGGGTGCACGTTTTGTGTTTAAATAAAACCTTGAAAAGTGGAGAAAAGAAACAAACAAACAAAAGAAAGCTATCCCAGCCTTCACGGTGGCAGCAGGAGGAGGCAGGGCCTCTGAGCAATTGGGCCATGAAAGTGCGGTCCTTAGGAACAGACTGAGTGGCCTTACAGGAGCCAGCACAGTGGCGCAGCACGTCAAGCTGCCTGCGACGCCACATCTCATATGGCCACCATTTCAAGTCCCTACCGCTCCACTTCCAATCCAGCTCCCTGCTAAGACGCCTGGGAGAGCAGCAGAAGACGGCCCAAGTGCTGGGGCCCCTGCACCCACGTGGGAGATGCCGATGGAGTTCCAGGCTCCTGGCGTCAGCCTGGCCCAGCGCCTGCTGTTGTAGGGAGTGAAGCATGGATGGAAGATCTGTCTCTCCTCCCGTCTCTGTCTCTCCTCCCTTTCACATAAACGGAAGGAAAGGAGGGAGGGAGGAAGGGAGAGAGGGAGGGAGGGAGGAAAAAAAATTCTACTCTTGGAATTCTGCTGGTTGGGGCTGGGTTTTTAAAGTCTCCCTACATGCTTCCAAGGAGCAGTCAGCAAGAGGAACCAGGGCATCTGATGGTGAGAAAGACCCTTTCGCCCGCCCTCGGACTCCACTGCGTCATTCCTCTCCACCAAGGGCCGCCGGCCTCGGTACAGAGCTGAACATCAAGTGCGACATTTTCCAGAAATGTTCCTCAACATTCTTTTTTCGCTGGTAGAGACCAGCAAACAAGCATGGCTGATAACTTCGTCAGACTCGATGGGCATCCCGTGTGATGGCTTCCTCCAGGGGCAGCATCTGTCAGCTCAGTGCAGTCTCCTGATTCCTGCTTTAATCACAGTCGCTGTGTCACAGTATGAGGATGTCCACCGATGTGTGTCGGTAGCCACCAACACGCGCAGTGCACACGTGGGGTGCGTATGTGCAAGCATGCATGCACACACGTGTCACACGCACTCACACTGCAGCCTTCAAATCAAAGACCGTTCCCAGCGGAGCTGACCACTGGATCCCCTCTGGGGTGGTCCCCACGGTGGGGGAACGGATGGACGACGGGGCAGACCCTGGCAAAGCCCAGCACTGCTCATCTCCCTTCTTCTGGTCCCGTGCTATGCATCACAAACCTGACGTTACCAGGGAGGGCTTTGAAGCTGCTAAGGCACCAGCACAGTCCCGGCGATCTGTGGTACTCTGGGATAAACCACCTCGTTCTGCCGGGCCTCGAGTTGGTGTTAAGAAATCCTGTCAGCCGGCGCCGCGGCTCACTAGGCTAATCTGCCTTGCGGCACTGGCACAGCAGGTTCTAGTCCCGGTCAGGGCGCCAGATTCTGTCCCGGTTGCCCCTCTTCCAGGCCAGCTCTCTGCTGTGGCCCGGGAGTGCAGTGGAGGATGGCCCAGGTGCTTGGGCCCTGCACCCCATGGGAGACCAGGAGGAAGCACCTGGCTCCTGCCATCAGATCAGCGCAGTGCGCTAGCCGCAGCGCGCTGGCCGCAGCGGCCATTGGAGGGTGAACCAACGGCAAAGGAGGACCTTTCTCTCTGTCTCCCTCTCTCACTCACTATCCACTCTGTCAAAAAAAAAAAAAAAAAGAAAAAAGAAAAAAAGAAAAAAAGAAATCCTGTCTCTCTGTGAGTCCCTGGAGAGTCGTGGGCCAAGTGCCTCCAGGAAAGCCGACCTCCCCCTCCGCCCGCTCCTGGTCCCTGTGTTCCTTCCCCCACACCCACACCTGCTCCCACACTTACTACAGGCCGCACAGGTGAAGCACGCGTCGTGGTAGAGGTTCCCCATGGCCTGGCAGGCCTGGCCGGCGCCAAACACCCCTTTGCTGCATTTCACACAGGCTCCTGCAAGGCAAGAACACACCGTGAGTCAGGAGGGAGCCCGTGTGTGGAAACAGACAGCAGAGAGCCCCGGAACGGAACAAAGCGAGATAACTCCCTGCCCACGATTGGCCCAACTCCCTGCCCACGATCGGCCTGTCGCCAAGTCCCGCGGACAACTCCTTTGCAACGTCTTTCTGCCCGCCCGCCCTCCCTCCAGTGGCCTCTCAAGGCGCAGTCCCCCCAGCTGCAGAAAGAGCCACCAGGCTGCGCCACCCAGCCCCACCCTGCCCTGCCAGAGCTCACCTGCTCCCCCACCCAGAGACCCCAAACCCTCCCCGTTCATAAGACAAAGTCTAAGAAATTGCACCACAACAGTTAATATGCCGAGTAAGTCCATCTCATGGTCTCAGAGAAATTGCTCCCTCTAATTCGCAACAGGGCTTATTATCCTCACGCTTTACAAAAAGCATCAGGTCCCGAGGCCCAGGCTGCAAAGCCGGTGCTCTTCCCCGCCCCTTCCCAACCAGGCCGCTCACCCCCAACAGCTCCACTGTGCCTCGGCCCGGGACACCCTATCCCGCCCTTCCGGCCATGCCAGCCCTCAGGCCTTCTCCACGGCATTTTCCCTGACCGATCTGGCTCTGAGGGCAACCTGGTGACTCAGAAATGAAAACAGCAGGGAGCCACCCTGGAGCCTCCCACCCCTCGCCACCTCCCAGCACCAAACCTGCATGAGGACATGGAGGTTAGGGCCACCTGCTCTGCGTGTTCCCAGGAGCCCCGGGGGAAGGGGGTGTGTGGAGGCTGCTTTGTCAACCAGGGAGTCTGTGGGGAGCAATTCGGACTAGACTAAGTTACTGGAATTAAGACTTATTTTATGCATCTGCTCTCCCACAATATGGCGCTGGGAGAGGAGGAAACAGCTTCTATACAGCTGCCTCCAGTTCAACCAATAAACAGCAGGACCTGCTCCTGATTGGAGGAGAGCAGCGTACTCGGCGTGTGGGTAGCAGAGTTGGGATTGGCGGAAGAGGACTATAAAGGAGGAGAGAGACAACATGCACCAGGAACACCTGAGGAACATCTGAGCAGCCCCCGCCCGAGAGAGCCGGCCGGCGGTGTGCTGCTCCCCCGCGGAAGTGGGGAAAGTGGCCAGGGGGAACCGCCCTTCCACGGAGGTGGAAGAACCAGCAAACCCGGGAAGAACCAGCAGCAAACCCGGGGAGGGCCGAGCAGACAAAAGAACAGCACAGGGTCCTGTGTCGTTCCTCCGCGAAGAGGGGGAGCGACAGGAGTCCTAAAGGGTGCATCTGCCTTGGCTACAAAGTGCCTGTGTGACCAGCATGGATGATTCCGACTCTGTGTCGGGCTCCTCCATCTGTGAAAAGGGACAGCAGAGGGGTCTGGACGTGGATGTCCTCGTCAGCGACGAGGCTCCGTACCCGGGGACCCCACGGCACCTGCCTCCTGACAGCTTTCCCTGCGGCCAGCACTTCTGAGTTACGCCATGGCCACTGCTCAGCAGCTGTCTGTCTCACCCTTTCCTCACAAAACAAAACAAAACAACTCAAATTTTTGTTTGTTTTTGTTTTATTTAAAAGACAAAGAGACAGAGACAGACCAGACAGAGAAAGATCTTCCATCAGCTGGTTCACTCCCCAAATCCCCAGAAGAGCCAGGGCTGGGCCAGGCCAGGCTGAAGCCAGGAGCCAGGAGGTCCGGCAGTGCAGACCATGTATAGGGTGGAGCCCTGTGCACAGGACAAGCCTGCAAAGAGGACAGGCTCCAGCCAGCTGGCCAGAAAGCAGAGGCCAACAGGTGCAATGGTGCTGGCTTGAGTGAAGACGTGGCCCCAGCTGGTCAGGGTCTGGGAAAGAAAACTGGACAGCCCCTCCCACCCCGCTCCTAAAGCACTGCAGGATGGCCAGCGTCTGCCGGCGCGCGCCCGGCACGGCCCAGGCTTCCCCGTACTTCCTGCTACTTTATCTCTCCATGCAGGCCTTCCTCCCGGCTCTCGGGACCCTGCTCGGCAACGCTCTCCTCTGGCTTCCTCCTGGGGGGTGTGGGGGGGGGGCTTTAGCCTCCCTGCCACGCTCCCTGTTCCGAGCCTGAGCCCGTCCGCCTCTGACACCCTTCTCACCACTCGGACCCGCGAGCGTGGACACAAAGCGAGGAAGGAAGCCATGTGTGCTGGAAGCCGTGGGGTCCCCGGGTACGGAAGGCCCCATAAGAAGCCGAGTCGGCAGGAAAACAAGGCGTCCTTGGGACACATGGTAAGTGCACAGAAAAGGCAAGGGGGAAAAAATCAAACAATGTGAAGTTCATCACGTAGGGACTAAGGTGGCTGCCACGGCCAGACCCCGGCTGCCGCTGTCCCTGCTCTAACACCAAGCTCTGGGATGGGCCTGTCCAGGAAGGTGCCGATGGTTGCACAGCTGGAAGGTCTGAGACCGGAATTGGAGCCCCGGTTCTGTCTGAAAGGTTCTGCTATCTGCACCTGACTCGCAGCTGGGGATACTCCTGCCACCGCCAGGGCCCCCTACTCCCACCTGGGGCTCCCAAACACATGGCCTGCTAGGGATTTAGACCCAGCTCTGTCCTGGACCCCCTAGCACTCACCTAGGCCCTGCCCCCTCAACACACACACACACACACACACACACACACACACACACAGCAGCCCCTCCTGCCGGGGAGCCCAACCACAAGGCCCCTCCCAGACAAAGAGGCGACCCTCAGTTCCCCTGCCCTTCAGCCAGGCCACTGCAGCTGACCACCCTTAGATGGGTAGGGACCCATTCACTCCCTCTCCCAAACCCTTCTCTGTCCCTCAGCCAGGCCCAGGCAGCACCCTGGCCCTGCACCTGCAGGCTGGTGATCCATCCCGTCTCCCCTGGTGCACCGGGCTCAGGGAGATAGGCTCCATGAGAAAAAAAAAAAAAAGTCCTGCACCCACAGGATTGAAGAGACGGTGCCAGCAGAGGAAACAGGAAGCCGTCAGCACACAGGACAGCCCAGGCTCAAACCCGAGGGGAAGAGGGATCTGCTCCCTGCGACTCGACGTGCATTCTCTGAACTCCAGCCAGAGTGATGGCGCCCAGCGGAGCTGCACTCAGGTGTAACTGTCACGCGCGTACTTAACCTGCCAGGCTCTGACCCGGCATACACACCTGGGAAATCACCGCCACAGGAAGCTGGAGAACAAATGCACCACCCCCCAGAGACGCCGCGCCCCCCAGCCCTTCTCAGTCCCTCCCCCTCCCTCCTCCCGCCCCGCCTCAGGCAGGCACCCACGATCTGCTTTCTGTCATCACAGATTAGTGCGTGTTTTCTAACATTTATACAAATGGAATCTGAAGCATGGACTCGTGTCGATCTGGTTTCTTTCACTCAGTATAATTATTTTGAGACGCCTCCGTGTCCTTGCGTGCAGCGAGAGTTTATTCTTTTTTTATTGCCATGGGCGCTCCACTGCTTACCCATGCACCTGTCAACACATGAGTTGTTTCTAGCTTTGGCTACTACAAATAAAGCCACTATCAACAATTACATACAGTGTGCAGACATATTTTTCTTTTCAGTAAAGACCTACGAGTGGCATGACAGTCTTATGGTAGGTGCATGACTAATTTTTTAAATTGAATTCAACTGTGTTCTGATGAAGTTCTAGCACTTGCCATCCCAGACCACAGTACATTAGAGTGCCAGTGTCTCCGGCGCTTGGTTTGGAGGGTCTTCTCAGCACCACCACTTCTGCCAGGTACACACTGCAGCTCTATCTCACGGTGCTTTTAACTCGCATTGCTCTCTAATAACTAATGTTATTCAAGAGTGTACCATGCTGCATCCTGAAAAACACTTTTTATTTATTTATTTGCCTTTGATGTATTTATTTCAAATAATAACAGAGTGACAGAGACAGAGACAAGGAATGAGAGGAAGAGGGGGGAAGAGCAGGAAGAGGGAGAGGGAGAGGAGGGGAGGGGGAGGGAGAGAAATCTTCCATCAGTTCACTCCCCAGATGGCCACAATGGCCAGGACTGGGCTTAGACTGAAGCCAGGAGCCCAGAGCTTCATCCGGGTCTCCCATGTGGGTGCAGGGTCCCAAGCACCTGGGCCATCCTCCACTGCTTTCCCAGGCACATTAGCAGGGAGCTAGACTGGAAGTGGAGCAGCCAGGACTCGAACCAGCACCCATGCGGGATGCCAGCACTGCAGGCAGTGGCTTAACTCACTACACCACAACGTAGGCCCTGTCAGATGCTTTACAGTTCTCCACGTGACAGAGAAGAAAAAGCAGGCATCAAGTGCAAACAAATAACATTGTGATTTGCTCCAATGCGACACGCTTTTTTAAAATGATTTATTTATTCATTTATTTAAGAGGCAGAGTTATAGACAGAGAGAGGGAAGACAGAGAGGTCTTCTATCTGCTGTTTCACGCCCCAAATGGCCGCAACGGCCAGACCTGGGCTGATCTGAAGCCAGGAGCCAGGAGCTTCTTCCAGGTCTCCCATGTGGGCGCAGGGGCCGAAGCGCTTGGGCCATCCTCCGCTGCTGTCCCGGGAGCACCAGCAGGGAGCTGGATCAGAAGAGGAGCAGCCGGACTGAAACCGGTGCCCATAGGGGACGCTGGGGCTGCAGGCCGGGGCTCTAACCGGCTGAGTCACAGCGCCGGCCCCATGTGACATGGGTTAAGGGGTCAATGCAATGTCACAGGCCCCTCCAGGAGCTTTCCGGGAGAGAACAAGCTTCATTACCACGGCTGCCGACACCGCCATCCTCACGGCCATTTTGCCTCCACAGTAACTTTCAATCGGGCGGGCCTGACTCTCTGTGCACAACAGTGGTTTTCAAACCGTTTAAATGGGCAGATACTTTTCTAAAAATAAGTGTCAGTGGAACCTCAAATATATGTAACAGACAAAAGGGAAACCACTATGGTTTGGGGTGGGACGGAGCCCGCTCTGCTTCCTGGAATGTCCTGGCCCCCTCCTGTGGTTCCAGGAAGATTCTTTGGAAACCAGAGACCCAGTGTACGATGGATTCAATGCAGAGACAACCCAGCCTGGCCAGGACAGAGCTCCACAGGAAGTGACTCCAAGTCACTACTGCAAACTGTCTCCCACACACCCCCAAAAACAAGTCCAAGCACCTTCCGACCTCCTGTGCAGACATAGGCTCTACAGACAAGCAGGCCAGCAAAGCAGCCTTGGCGTGAGAAATAGCATAGAATTCCCACCCCCTTCCTGCCCAGGCTTCAGCTGAGTCCACAGCTAACCCTGGCAGTGACCATGACAGCAGCACCGGCTGTGATGAAGACACACTAAGTCAAAGACTCCAGGAGGCTGCAGCGAGTGTGGCCCTCATCCCCCTTCCCGGCTCCCACCAAGGCTTCTCTCCTGGGGGGCGGGGGAGGCCTCACACAGCCGTTCCCCACCACCCACCTGGATGTTCCACGGGGGACACAGCCAGGACAGGCGGTTGAGGCAAGGATCAGGACACCTCGTCAAGGTTTGAGGGCAGGATCAGGAGTTTGCTACGGTGGTGGCACTGTGACCTAGTAGGTTAAGCCTCAGCCTGCAGCGCTGACATCCCACCTGCTCCTCTTCAGATCCAGCTCTCTGCTATGGCCTGGGAAAGCGGAAGAAGATGGCCCAAGTGCTCGGGCCCCTGCACCCACATGGGAGACCCAGGAAGCTCCTGGCTCCTGGCTTTGGATCAGTGCAGCTCTGATTATTGTGGCCATTTGAGGAGTGAAGTAGTGGATGAATGACTTCTCTCTGTCTCTCCCTCTCTCTGTCTATAACTCTGTCTCTCAAATAAATAAACACATCTCTTTCTTTTTTAAAAATATTTATTTATTTGAAAGTCAGAGTTACAGAGAGGCAGAGGCAGAGAAGGAGAGAGGTCTTCCATCCACTGGTCCACTCTCCAAATGGCCACAACGGCCAAAGCTGGGCCAATCTGAAGCCGGGAGCCAGGAGCTTCCTCCGGGTCTCCCACACAGATGCAGGGGCCCAAGGACTTGGGCCATCTTCTACTGTTTTCCAGCAGAGAGCTGGATAGGAAATGGAGCAGCCAGGACTCAAATCAGTGCCCATATGGGATACCCACACTGCAGGCAGTGGCTTTACCAGCTATGCCACAGCGCCGGCCCCAATAAATACATCTTAGAGAGAGAGAGAGAGAGAGAGAGACAGACAGACAGACAGACAGACAGATGCTGCTTGGAACAGCGCAATACATATGCATCAGCACCCCTGGGTTCCAGTCCCAGCTCCACTTCCGGTCCCAGCCTCTGCGGATGCTCACCCTGGGAGGCAGCAGGTGATAGTCCAAGTGATTGGGTCCCTACCAACCGTGCTGGAGACCCACATGGAGTTCTGGGCTCCTGGCTTCAGGCTGAATCAGTGAATGGAAGGCTTCTCTGTGTGTGTGTCTCCCTCTGCCTTTCAAATAAATAAAAATGAACAATTCCAAATACTTTAAAAGAAAAAAGGTTTGTGGGGGTCCTGGCAGGGGCTGGACCTGCCCGGAGCACACCATGAGATACGCCTGGTGCACCTTGACCAAGGCTCTTCCTTGCGGACAGTAGCAGCCTGTAGACCTGGGCACTGGGTAGCTCCGGGCATCAACAGGTTCCAAAAGAGGGGTGAAGAGCTGGGTAACAGTCCCCTCCCTAGCCACCCTGCAGGCTAACAGAAAGGCCCCAGGAGGGGCAGGTGGGTTTGTGGCGCAGTGGCTCTGTTAGGCAGGAAGCTGGAAATCAGCCTGCGTGTGTGCAGAGGGGCCTGAGCAGAATGACATCTACAGAAGCCCAGCATCTGCATCTCGAAGTCCTGCCCAGACCCTGGCAACCTGCCACGTGGTCCCAGCCCTGCCCCCCCAGAAAGCTCCCAGGAGAATTCTCTCCTCAGGACCCAAGGGGGCAACAAAATCCTCACGGGCTGAACCCCTCTTCCTTTATAAGCCCCAGTCTACACAAAGACAGCGAGTCAGCCCTCTGCTCTCCGCTGAGCCGCCGGCTTGGCCTGTCCAGGTGTATTCTCTCCATTCAACCCCGTGACCCTGCTCTCCCCCAGTCTGAGTGACTGGGTGCTCTCTCTCTATCCCTTCCGTTCTGACAGAGGCCCTGTCCCCAATAAAACCTTGCTACTTTGCTCTCTGTCTCATGCCTGAATTCTTCCTTTTGTGAAGACAAGAACCCCACGACTTCTCTGGTGACAGATTAAGCCGCTGCCTGCGATGCTGGCATCCCGTATCGGAGCACCAGTTGGAGTCCTGGCTGCTCCACTTCAATCCAGCTCCCAGCTAATGTACCTGGGAAAGCGGCAGAAGACAGCCCAAGTCCTTGGGCTGCTGGGACACCTGTGGGAGACCTGGATAGAGTTCCAAGCTCCTAGTTTAAGCCTGGCCCAGCCGTGGCTGTTGTAGCCATCTGGAGAGTCAACCACTAGTTGAAAGATCTCTCTCTCTCTCTTCTTGTGTCACTCTGCCTTTCAAATAAATAAAATAAATCTTGGCCAGCGCCACGGCTTACTGGGCTTACTGGGCTAATCCTCCACCTGCAGCGCCAGCACACTGGGTTCTAGTCCCGGTTGGGGTGCTGGATTCTATTCCGGTTGCTCCTCTTCCAGTCCAGCTCTCTGCTGTGGCCCAGGAGTGCAGTGGAGGATGGCCCAGGTGCTTGGACCCTGCACCTGCATGGGAGACCAGGAGGGGGCACCTGGCTCCTGACTTCGGATCAGCCGTAGCTGCCATTTGGGGGATGAACCAACAGAAGGAAGACCTTTCTCTCTGTCTCTCTCTCACTGTCTAACTCTGCCTGTCAAAAAAAAAAAAAAAAAAAAAAAAAAAACAAACAAACAAAAAAAAAAACACACCTCCCCAGGGGCTGCTGGCACTGGACTCCTGAGTACCACACAGGGCCCAGCAGCACTGCTCCAGGCTGGCTGCACAGCTCCCTGGAGACAGCAGCCATGCTGGGGGCCGGACTGCGGCTCCCTGGGCGATCCTCCCTCACAGCGACGGCCCAGGGACGCAGGTGGACAAAACATAGCACACTGCCTCCTCCCTGGCACTCGGACCTCTCCTCCCCTGTCCCTTCCCACATACTCGGCAGATCTCGAGCCCACGGGTGAAGCTGTCATCAAGCCACAAAAGGAAGTACTTGCGGCCATTCTGGGCTGTGGGGGTCATTGCGCCAGTCCACTTGCTTCACTCTAAAGCTGCCGCTAACACACACTCGGCCCCACAAGCCGCCATGGGCCTCATTCACTGCAGTGGGAAAGGAACCTTCGCACACAATTTCCCAATCACTGCAGGCTTGAGCGTACCCTCCCAGACCACCTGCAGGTGCATTTTCCTTAAAATTCGAAAGGCAGATGGACAGAGAGACAGACAGGGAGACAGACAAAGATCTTTCATCTATTGTTCAATTTCCCAGATGTCCAGGCCAAAGCCAGGAGCCCAGCAGGGACCAATGACTTGAGCCTGCCTCCCAGGGTGTACATCAGCGAGAAGCTAGAATTGGAAGTACAGCTGGG